AATTCACCTGTTGCTCTTTTCACCCAAGAATCATCACAAATCAGCATGGGTGGAATTCAGCTCCCATCTGAATTTGCATCAACTAAAACAACTGTCAGTATTTCCATTCCTCAAACTGGGGAAGGGTAAACCATAAATCTACTTTGAACTTTGGTTTAGATACACCTGTTTTGACTATAGCAGTGTTTGCTAAAGTACACTGAACATAAAAATAAAAAATAATCATTGATAGAAAACTATCAAAATTTAGTAAGTTCTATTTATTATACTTGGAGAAAAAGAAAACTGCTAAAATGGTTACGCTGATGGCATGATTAATACAAACATTACATACACTTTTGAAAACTTTATTAAAGTAATATGAGAATCACTTCATTTCTGTTTTGAAATAACATGCATGTTCATGTCACTTCCAGGTATACTGTTCCATCTGGTGCTCCGTTTCTGTCTTGAAATGCATTCTTGCATAATAAAAACACATATGTAAAGATATGTTGAGGTTTCTTAAATATGTATAAGTACATTTGTGTTTACATTGATTGATAGTTTATATAGCAAAAATGTTTTATTATGTGTGGTTTTGAATTATATACAGTTAAATTAGAAGGAAATTAGGACCCCAATACAATCATCAAAATAGATATCCTTTTGTCTGCTAATCTTTAAAATGGAAGCTTATTGAATCTCAAGTCAAATAGCTGATATGCAGAATTTTAAGGTGCATGTAGAAAAGATTTTCTTTTCTTATGAAAAATACTGGCTTTTCAAAAATCTACTGTAGAATTCAAAGAGTTATATTTAAGAGTACTTATTTTATAATAATATAAGTCCTGCATAACATAATATAGGAATTCCCTGTAGCTCAAATGGTGAAGAATCTGCCTGTGACACAGGAGACCAGGGTTCAATCCCTGGGTCAGGAAGATCCTCTGGAGAAGGAAATGGCAATCCACTCCACTATTCTTGCCTGGAGAATTCTGTGGACAGAGGAGCCTGACAGGCTATGTTCCTCTGCTCACATCTTACAGAATACCTTTCTGGGGTTTCAGAACTTTGTAAAATATTTGTATTAATGTAACCATTCTAAAAATACACAATGTTTCAAAGTCCTACAATTGGCAATGTTTTAAACATAATTTTCTTTTATTTTATAAAGTGCCAATGTATCCTCGTAGATTAGTTGTAAACAACCTGTAGTTATACAATGATAAACATTTTGTCTTCTTCTAATATCAAGATCTTATTTTCTAGAGTATTCCTATTATCTGCATTAGGTTGCAGATTTCTGTGAAGAGAAGGGCACTGTATTATTTACACTTTAATCCTCATAACAAAGTTCTAAAATATTAGAAGTCCTTCATAAATATTTGTTAATAATTAAACATTTGATTAGTGAAAGAATAGGGATCTAGACAATCTTCTCCTACATGACACATTTATCTCATTGATTGTGGACTCACAGTTCTCTTTATGGATAAGAAAGATGATACACTCTCTTCCTTGCTTTTCCTTGTTTATGTGTGTGTGAGTGTATGTACAAGCACGTGGGAATGCAAACACACACATGCATAATACACAGGAATGTTGCATCGAACATTATGTGCTAATTAGACATCTTGGAAACCATGATTCAAGCCGTTGAACATCAAAGATCTGATGCCTGTTTGGCAACAAAGAGAATGTAATTAAACCAGAGAGACCAGAATGTATAACTCAGCCACCACCCTCTCCCTAACTACACTTCTTGTAGGTTTAACTTCCAAAGAATACATGTTCTCAAGGTTGGTTTTTCTCCCAGCACTTTCTCTTTTAGGACCCATCAGCTAGAGCAAAGAGTGAACCCATGGAGGGTAGACACACACACAGATGGCAGGAGAGGGACAGGGCCCCGTGTCTGAGTGAAGGGCTGTATGCACCCCTGGAGTCCAAGCACATAGTGGAAATGGGACTCCCCATGTCTCCTATCATCTTACACCTCCTCAGTCATGGAGATATGGACTTGTTTTATTTGGGGGTTTTCTTATGGAAAAATAAAACAAACTTTACTATAAAATCTAAGGTAAGGGAAGAAACTATGGCTCTGAATCCTTGGAATGTTCCTGCCCAGCAGCAGCTTCCCCAGAGTCCGCTCTCATCCCCAACCTGACTTGTATACACTCCTCTAACACTTACATCACCAGAAGGAAATCCTCTGTTACTACACTCTATTTTAAAGTAGCCATGAATGAGAAGACATTTTGTAGAAAATTATCTATGACAAAATGAAGGACAAATCAATTATAAAACTTTTTATAACTTCCCCAGTTTAATATTTTAGTTATTAGCCCTTCTTTCTCCATCAAATTGCAGGTTCCATACAGACAGAGAACATAGAAGAAATTATTATATGGACCAGATCCAACACCTGGCAAGTTCTAAATATGTCTCCTTGAATTGAGAACACTATCTGAGGCCCACATTCTAGCTTTTTACTGCAAACAGAAAGTTCAGACAGTTTTTCAAATTAAGCTTTTCAGTGCATCAGTTTAACAGAGAACCTACCAGATTTAAACTCATCTTTCTTGCAATAATCAAGTTACATTACACATGAGATACCTGTTCCTTGAGGTTGTACCGTTAGAAACTGTCCATATAATCAGAGAAAGAGCACATGTTTTAAAACCAGCTGTGTCTTTTGGAGAGTGGGGGTTCACAGTGTGGGAGAGAGAGCATGCCCACATCCCTGGAAGGGATCAGCTCCTGATTTATGGAGTTAAGAGCATCCATGTTCACACATCAGATTTTCCAAGGAGTGCTTGGAGAGGAGAGTGGATTGGGTCTGAGCTTGGCTGTCCCCCCTGGTAAAGAAGAGTTGAAAATGCCAGACAGCTGAGGTTCTCAGAGCAGCCTGGCAAGGGCACTACCCAGAGTTCCCTCAAAGCCTGCTGTGCTGGTTCAGCTTGCCTACAATAACCCAAGTCCCCACATGATTACAGCAAAGAGAAGTGCGCCTCTGTCTCCCATCCAGACCTGGAGGCAGGCAGCCTAGTGCTGGTCTTGCAGGGCTGTTCCAGAGAGCTTCTCTGTCACCCAAGGTGGATGAGGGGCAGGATAGAGCTACCATTTCTGGGTTGACATTCCCTGAAGCAAAAGAGGGGAGGAGAAAGGGCCTTCCTCTCCCTCCTAGAAAATATCCTGAAAGTTGCATAGCTTGCTTTGCTTCCATCCTGGAGGAAGAGCTTAGTCTCACAAGCAACCTCCTTGCAAAGGAGGCTGGGAACATGTCGAGTCTTAGGCAGTCACATGCCCTGTTAAAAGGTTAGTGTTTAAGGCTCCCTGATGGCTCAGTGGTAAAGAACGCAGGTGCAAACGCAGGAGACAGAGGTTCAGCCCTTGATCTGGGAAGAGCCCATGGGCACTGAAGCAACTCAGCCCATGTGCCACAGCCCCTGCAGCCTTCACATCCAGAGTCAGCAGGCTGAAATGACAGAGGCCGATGAAACACGAGACCCGGCATCGCAGTTGCAGAGCAGCCTCTGCTGGCTGCAGCCAGAGACAAGCCCACACAGCACTGAAGACCCCAGCATGGCCAAAAATAACTGAATACCATTTTTAAAAATTCAGTGTCATTACTAGGAGAGAGGCAGACCACGTGGGCTGATGAATGAACTGGTGCTCTTCTTTGTGTTTTGCCTAAATCTCTTTCTGGGCCAGGTCACAATGTCCAGCAGAGTGTTTGGAGCAGTGTGAGGCAGGTCTATGCCTGTTACTGAGCATAAGTTTATGTGTTTGATGCACAGTAAGGCTAAGCAACCAGAAAAATCATAGTTTGATGCAGAGAAAGGTCTTTGCAAAGCCATGCATGGAGACAGGTGGCCCAAATGGCCTGGGCTCCCTAAAGGGTTAAATAGCAAAGCATTTGTAAAGTCACGTGATGGAGGGGTGAGGTTGGTTGATGCGAGCTTCTTGGTGCAAAGACCCTTTGTCAACACAGGTAAGGCCACGATGTCCCTATAAACCTCCAACAAGAAAAGTATGTTAGTCTCTGTTTTGTAACTTATCTCTATATGAATGGAAAGTGTTGAACTCAAAGTTCTGTGTTGAGAATGGGCTCTCCTGTATTGCAGGCTACAACCTAGTCTTGAAGCAAAGGCAATAGAATAAAAGGCCGAAGTAAAAGAGACACCTACTGTGGTGTCAAATGTGTTCTTCCTTAGAACATGTCTGACTGCCCTGCAGCTGGAGCTCTGTGTCCTGAATGCCCAGCTTCCTTCCTATGGGTGTGGCTGTGATGGACCTAAGGTCTAAATGGGGAGGAAGGTAATGGTGCCTTTGACCTCTTTTCCCTCCCAGGCCAGGAGTTCTTACTGTGGGGAGTTTAGGAAAAAGCCCGGGAGACTGGGCCCTCATGAAGTCAAGGATAAAATGTGTGACTGCACTGGCTTTCTTCAGGTAGGATTACCTGCTCTGGGTACAGCCTCACCAGAATATTTTATCAGCATTTTTAGTTTTTAGATATTATGTATTTTCCCAGAACACATAGCTACAGTATTTCAGCTGTGAGTTGCAATTAACTAGCAAAGGTAAGTTTGTGAGAATCAGGAGAGCTGTGGGTTTCAAACATGTAGAGCATTCTGTGAAGCACTAAGAATTGCAGTAATTCAAACATGGACTATGAGTGGTGCTCAAAATCTTAAGATCTAATAACTTTCCACATATGAGCAGCTATGTCAAGTCTGCTTTGTTCACAAAGCCCAGCTTCTGAGGCCCGTGCCACGGCCAGGATCACAGAACACAGCACCTTTCTGTGGTTGACTGCGGTGCTCCACAGAGGTCAGCGGGGCGGCTGTGTGCTCTCATGAAACTAGTCCTGGTCAATGTGCTCATAAATATTTGTGCTTCTGTCCCACGTGTGGCAAACTGCTTAAAAATCTGCCAGGCCCCTAGTGGTAAAGATTCTGTACTCCCGACGCAGGGGGCATCAGTTCAATCTGCAGTCAGGAAACTGAGATCCCACATACCCGCTTCGTAGCCAAAATAGAGGCTATGAGAAAAGAAGGGTAAAACCAAGGAACTCAAGTATATTTTTTTAATGGACTAAAGGTTCACTTGCTCTCCACTCTGTAGAAATGGCCATGTAGATGAGCCTTCCCTACTGAGAGCCACAATAACCAGGATGTTAAGGTAAGTTAGATTCACATGCCTTCCTAATTTTACTCTATTTACACTGTGTGAAGTAGTTATATTTTTATCCTGTCCCCAGAATTCCTATCTGTGACTGCCTAAAACAAATTTGCATGTGATTTACAATTGTGGCAAATGTAAAAACCAATATTGAAAGGGAAGCAGGACTCTAGGGTCCTTACCCCCATGTCCTCCTGCCCTTTATCTATGAAAAGCTTCAGTCAGAAAACAAGTTTAATTAGAGAAATGAGAACAAGCAGCAACAAAGGAGAACAGCGGAAGGAGAACAAATAAATAATAATGGAGTCATTAAATCTAGTCAAGGATCTTTAAGTTCCTTCTCAAGGGTTGCAGACAACATTCTGAGGCCTAGGGTGATGTCTTACAGATTCTGAAACCACAACTAGGTGGACAAGTTACTGCTGTGATGACTAGACTGTATCCATGACATAAGCAGTCACAGTTCCAAGGAATGGCCTCAAAGAAATGGAAACAAATTAACCATGGAGCTGAAGATGAACTGTACCAAAAACAGTCAAGATGATGCTGGCCAAATCACTGATGACTAACTTCAAGATGACTGTCGGAACTGACAGCACTGTAGTCATGGAGCCTCTCCCTCCATCACCCCTCCTGTGCTTTCTGCAGATCCAAATTATCCAATAAAAATTAACTTCAGGGCTCTGAAGCAAAAATGCTCTTGGCTACTTCAGTGCTGGTCAGGACTGAGGCCAGAGAGCCTGAGTCACCCAGTTTTCAGGAGCAGGGGGGTTGGGGGCCTCCTTCTGTAGATGGGGCTTCTTCATTTTAAATGGCATTTGACACATGACAGAAAAGATCTAAATTGGAAGAGGCCAGCAGGTGTGCAAAAATGTCTTTTAATGTTTATTTCATTTTTCATATAATAATCCAAGATAGAACAGGCCCAAAAACTGTTCTAGTGAGTAGCGTATACAACTGTGTGTTGTGAGGGTCTCATTGTGCTGGGTGTGTTCTGTCTTCAATTGTCAAATAAAGATAGATTCTCTTCTGCATAATAAACTTACCACTTGCTTGAATTTGAAATGCACTGTCTAGACTTTATGACAGATATGCTAGTTTTATAACATTACAGGTAAAGGTTTTTTGCTTTTTTTTAATACAAGCAGTGCGCATCTTACTTAAAAAAAAGAAAAAAAAAAAAAAACACTAGATAAAGACTTCCCTCGTGGTCCAGTGGGAAGAATCCTTCCTTCCAGTGGGAGGAATCTGCTTCCCAATGCAGGGAACAGAGGTTCCATCCCTGACGTAGGAATATTCCACAAGGCAACTAAGCGCTGTGTACCACTCGTACGGTGCCGGGGGCTGCAGCTGCTGCCGTCTGTGTGCCCCAGAGCGTATGCTCTGAAAGGAGACACGCCACCACGACGAGGACAGCCGCGCAGCACAACTAGAAAGCAGCTTCCACACCCTGAGACATAGAAAAGCCCATGCACAGCACACACACCCCGGGCCATCAAAACTAAAGGAAATATTTTAATACTTAAAATACTGAAATATTTTAGAACCTCCCTGTCACTCCTGTCCTGGTATCCCTTGTTTAAAATTCCTCAAACTGTTAAAAAAATTTTTCTCCACTCTACATTTACACATAAATTACATCAATTCATTTCGGTTCCATTAAAAAAGGTGTGATGCTTTTTTGCAACTTGGTTTTTTCATTTAACAATATGAGTCTGATCGCAATTTCCTCTTTTTGGTGGATTTTCTGTTGCTCATCACAGTGCAAAACGTTTTCCAGAACCACACAACTCTGCTATCAGCATATACAATTTCTTAATTTGATTCTATCCCTCCTCACTTATCATATTAATCAAGTATGAATAAATTCAGATAAATTTTATTTAAAAGTGAACAAACGTCCAATCACCTGGCAGTTTGCATGGTGTCTTAAGACAGTTGAGTCAGGTCTCAAATTCCTTACAATTTTAAGCCAAAAACTGCATTGCAAAGTTTAGGTTGAACTTTAGGCTACTTTAGTAGCTATGTAGTGAAACCAATTCAGTTATTGATATTGGTGTTAAGACCCATTTTCAGATTAATTGTAATAAAATATATAGCCCACACGCTGATGCTAAAAGACAGTTGTTGAGTCAGTTCCTACCATGACGTTTTTGAAGCCACAGGACCGGTGGGTGCTGCTCTCTGACTGAGCCCAAGAAGCCTCCCTCCCGCCAGAAGAGAGCCTCCCCTGAGAGACACCACGGGGTGTGCCGGGCCTTGTGACAGGGTGGGGACACGGGGAGAGGACCCAGGGACTCAGCGACGCCCACTGAGCCTGACCTTCTGCTAGGTCCATTTCAGATGCTCACAGGGAGGGTGATCTCAGCTGAGAGCCACCATCTGGCTCCGAAAGTTTCAGAACCTCGTTACTTCATCTTTCCAAACAGTCCCCAAATGATAGTTCTTAAGGGATCTTCCTTTCAGATAACTACATTTTTCCCAAAGAGTGGAATTTTTCTTACTTGTAAGTTTAAAGCCAGGCTAATATCCTCCCTTTCCTTCCCCTCCCCAACACAGCTTTCAACTCCATTCACAAATCGTTTGGGGAAAACTGAAGTTGCCGTTGAATGGATCACCTTATGCACATTTGGAGGCTCACGTGTTTTTCATTTTAGGTTTTAAAACACGATTTAGATGGTTAGATCCTGGAAGGTCCGACACCAGGCAAGAAGGTGGCTCCCAGCTCCACATCATGGGGTACAGTATAGCTTGGGCTGTAGTTCAGCCCCTGTGGCCTGGACAAACTCCTGCTTCCCAGGCTTGTTGTTTTAAACAAAATGCATTTTCTCTGTGGTCTTGTTCATCCTCTTAGGGCTTACATGTCACAAAGGCCAGTTCATGTCCTCTGAGAGGGAAGGTGGTCCTCACTTGAGAACGTGCTGATTTACTTTGTACCCTTCCACAAATGGGAGCTGCTTTCAGGTGAAGCCATTCCGGGCAAAAATAAAAGAATTTTTAAGCCAAAAAAAAATCTAGTTCCCAAAATCTTAACAGCCTGGTAAAGTCCCAGATTTCATTTTGTATTTTCTATTCTAGAAGTATTTTTTTTTTCCCGTCCTCTAATACAAACTTACCACGTTAGAGGGCAGAGCGCTGCTACATGCATTAGTTTGATTACTTTTACTGTTTCTCTACAGAAATGTTTTATTGATCACTCATTCTGTGGGCTCCAGACCGTAGACTGGAAAACAGTTTCTACTTTGCCCCTGTTTTTTATGAAGCTGACTTCAGGGAAGACATTTTTGAAAACACCTCTGTACCGTGCAGACAGTGCAGTAGGTACTATCAAGAATTCCTTAAGTGAACATAGATCATATATCTACACCATGTGTCACATCCACTCTGATCCTTGAAGGAGTCAGGGCTGAAGTAGCTTCATGGAAGTTTACTCTTATTTTTAAAGTTTCTTTAGAAGATGGTCCGATTCTGTACCATTAGTCCCCAGTTTCTTTATAACAATTCTCAGGCTCTCTAACAACGTGTAAGTGCAACTCATTTCTTTAATGTTCACTGTAAAAACCTAGAGCTGATGGATCCCTAGTTTTAGGTTGTAGCCTGACTGTGCCATCACAGAGAACAGCACCTGGAGCCATCCCATCTCCACTAGAGTCCAGTGCCTGGACTTGCACATGGGCTGGGCTTCAGGTGCTGCTCCTGGCCCAGGAGGGGGCACCCTGGTCACCAGCCAGCTGAAGAGAAATGTAAATCCCTCTCATTTCTGCTCCCAGTTCCACTTGTCACAAACGTCTATGAAAGCAGACGTTGGGGTGGATTTATGTATAAAGTGTCAACTTGTGACGGGACAGTGAGAAAGCAGGATCAGGCAGATGGCAAAATTGAGCTGTGAGGCAGTCCCAACAAAGTCTCACCCAGACCACTGAGGGGCTTCTGCATTTTTGACCTCACGACTATTCCAGTGTCCCCACTTCACCTGGCCATTGGATGCAGCAACCCAGCAGAAACCCATGCAGGGATGGTGTTGCCTTAAGGGGCTCTGGGCTGAAAGTTGTCTGCAGATGGCACATCCAGCAGGTGGGCAGTGAGTGTTTTCTGTGCCAGGGGTGTCAGTGGCATAGAGATGTTCACTGCAACTGGGGCTCAGTGGGATACAAGGTAGAAGTGGGAGATCTGTTTGAATCATTTGCCTTTTCAACAGGCCACACTCGTAGCAAGCTGGTTCAGTGGATTTTGGTGGCAAAGAGCCATTATGGGTAAAAACCTGTTTGGAGTTACTACTTTCAACTAGATTATTTTCTCCTAACAGTCACTACCAATTCTGGTACTGAAGACTCAAGTATTATCACCAAATCAAGGGTAGGTCCACTCAAGCGCCCAAGTTCACAGGATGCACAGCAAAACCAACCAGGGGGTGTCTTGGCACACAGACTGCTGCCTGTAGGAGAGCATGGAGGATACCCAGGCAGACAAAGTCTCTAATTTATAGGCTTTCCAGTTCTCAGGGTGTGGTTGTGTGCTCTAAAGACGTGCCCAGTGGACAGCTCGATCACCTTGCCCTGACTTTACTAACCCCAGCTGCCTGTCTGCGGGCTAAGACATGAGCCTCACAGAGGACACGGCCAAGCTGCCACCACATTTGCTTCTGTGAGGTCTGAACCTCCTAATCCACCCACTCACCCTGGACCAGCTTCCTCACTTGCTCTCACTGTAACCTTCTGGCTGAACAGAAAGAGCCTTTACTTTTTCTCTGGAAGGTTTTAGCAGATCATTTTTAAATTACTGTAACAATTTTGACCAAATCACATTTTGCATGTCTGTCCACATTAGCCCCTGTTTTAGTCTGCCATCTTGAAACCAAAT